GTCCGCGTTTTGTCTTTTCAGTAGCAGATCTTGCGCTTTAGATATTTTTTCTCTTATTTCTGCTTCAAATTCTGGTGGGGATGCATGAATTATGTCGATTGGTTTTTTATTAACGACTGAGTGAATTGATTTATTGTATTCTATTGTTGCCTGAAGTATAATATCGGTAGTGTCATTTAATTGTTTTTCTAATTTCAAGCATCTGGCAATTTCTGCAAGAGTACTGTGAAATCTTTCTACCTGTCCATTTGAAGTACTATGTAATGGTGGCGAATTTACAATATCAACATTAAACCGGTTTTTTAAAAGAGACCTTATTGTTCCTGAATTCAGTGATGGTTCGTTATCGCAGTAGATAATTTTAGTATTAGGGTAGAAATTCATGAGCTGTAAGATGGGGGGCTCGATATCTATTATCGTTCTGGAAGCTATGGGCTGAACAATGGCAAATTTAGAAAATTTATCAATACAGGTTAGAAAATACTTTTTATCTGTAGAAAAAATGTCAATATGGAGAATTTCCCCTACTTGATTAGGTACTGGCGTTTCGCCAATGTACTGTTTTTGTGGGTGTCGGTCATATTTCCCTTTGCTGCAAGTCTTACAATTTGCAACTACTTCGTTTGCTAGACGGGTCATTTTTGGGAAAAAATAGTCTTGGAGAATTTGTTTTATATTCTCTTGCGCTGCTCTATGTGCTCTGCCATGTTCTGTGACTATGATTTCTTTTTGCTCATTCCTATCATGAACATCGATGACCAATTTATTTGAATGACAAAATTTGGTTGAAGGGAAAGTCTCAACTAGCTTGTTTTGTATAAATGCTAGTATCGGCAGGTCGCATTTGATTGCATTCACTACTTCTTTTTTAACCGCATCACACACTTTTTCTATTAAGTTTTCTCTATTCGAAAAGTGTATGATATGTCTTGTTTTTTGTCCGAACATAATAATAATTTTTTCAGAAGCTATAGTGCTTTCTTCAATAATTATTTGGTTCCTGAAACAATTAATCGGTTTTTCAGTAGACTCGATAGTGTATGTCAATGATAACTCACTATGTATAGTGGCTAAGTCTGATGGAGCATCTTCTTCGAGAGCGTAAAGGTTTTGTCTTGATAGAGCATCGGTGACAAAATTTTCTTTACCGGGCTTGTAGAAAATTTGAGCATTGTGCTCATCGATAAAGGATTTCCATTTCTTAATTTTTGCATTAGTGTTTTTGTCTGAGACTGCAAATGTTAGTGGCTGATGATCGGTATAAATACTTAAATTTTTTACACCGTACAAATAGTTTCTTAGGGATTTTAGGGCCCACACTATTGCCAGTAGCTCACGTTCATTTGTGGCGAAATTTAATTCGTTGTCTCTTAAAGTCCTGGAAATCATGGTTGTCGGCTTCTTGTTTTGTGACAAAACGGCGCCTAAGCCAGAGGACGAAGCATCTGTCGTCAAATCGAATGGCTTCTGGTAATCAGGGTATAGGAGCATTACATCTTCGGAGCTTAAGATATTCTTTAATTTCTCGAAGGTGGCTATCTGCTTTTTATCAAGGTTAACAGGAATTTTTTTCGATTGTCCTGCACTTGTTTTACCATTATCACCCTTTAGTATATCTGTCAATGGTTTGGCTATAGATGCAAAATTTTTTATAAAGCATCTGTAATAGCTCGCTAGACCAAGGAATGATCTAACTTGGAACAAGTTGGAAGGCTGTTGAAATTTGCTTAGTGCTTCAACTTTCCAAGATACTCGACCTTTTCTTTAAAAAAGTGAGATTTTTCCCGTGATACCCTCATGTTAGCGTTATACAATTTATCTAGTACCCAGGCGACGTGGTGAACATGATTTTGCATATTTTCAGAGAATATGATCACGTCATCCACGTAGACGTAGCATGACTTCCCAATCTGTTCTCTAAGTACGTCGTCAATTGCTCGTTGGAAAATTCCGGGGGCATTCTTCAAACCAAAGGGAAGTCTGCAAAATTCATACTTCCCATTTCCTACAGGAAATGCAGTTTTTTCTCTATCTTTTTCTGCAAGAAGTATTTGATGAAATCCTGATTTCAGATCGAGCGTCGTTAAATATTTGGCTTTACCAAGGTTTGAGAGAATAGCTACAATGTTCGGTATAGGGTATTTGTCATCAACAGTTTTTGAATTAAGTTTCCTAAAGTCAATTACAAGGCGTTTTTTCCTATTTCCTTGTTAGTCTAGACCCCTTTTATCTACTACCCACACCGGATTATTATACGGTGAATTAGATGGTCTGATAATATTGTTTCTCAGCATGTCATTAGTTTCGTTATTGACAAACTCTGATACTCCTAATGGGTATGGGTAAAGTCTAGAGAACACTGCTTTTTCGTCTTCTGTTCGAATTGTAGCGACAATATTTGTGTTGTAGGGAAGAGATTCGTTAGGGTCAGCGAAAACATTTATTTTTTCTTGTAACATTTTCTTAAATTCTTTTTCAATTTCTTGCGGAACTTTTATATTTTCTACTTCGGTAAAGTTAACATTTGGGCTTTTTTTATATTGAATTATTTCAGATCCATCTTTTGTTTTTAAGACGTTATTTTTCAAATCTAGATTTGCGTTAATTTTTTTTTAAAAATCAAGTCCTATTATTCCATCAAAGCTTGATAAGCTAGGAAGTAAAAAAAATGTGGTTGTTGTATTAAAAAGGTGCATAAGACATTTCTCTTGGACGGCATTAAAGCCATGAAGTGACTTAACTAAAAATTTTTCTTTAACTTTAGTTACATTTTTAAGTTCCGGGATTGGTTTTATATAGTTTTTTGAAGCGCCTGTGTCTATAAGTAATTTAATCTGTCTACCTGCTATCGTTCGCTCTACAAACGGTAACAGGGAACAATTTCTAAAAAATTGACCTCTTGAATCTGATCCTCATCTTCTAAATCTGATACCTCAGCCTCCGCTACTGCTTGGTACTCCTGCTCCGATTGACCTTCAGAATTTTCATCTTGTGAGAGATGATTAATTCTCTGTTGTTTGGGACCTGTAGTTCTAGTTGTTCCACTACTTGCTCTTTTTGGCACCTGATTTTGGTAGGAACCACCTTGGTTTGGGTATTGAGTTGTTTGCCTAAACCGAGATGAAGTGTCAACGTCCATAGGTTGTGGTGATTCTTGTTTTATATTCGGGCTATTGTTTTGGGTTTTTTGTTTGTAAAATGGAGTTTTTACTTGGTTTGGGGTACTTTCTACAGTGGGCTGCCTTTGCTGTCTCTGTTCCTGACGCTGAGCTCTTTCTTCATTATTCCTAGCAAAACTACTAGCGAATTGGAAGCGTTCATGATTAGATTCAACTTCCTGTGCAAGTGCCAGTGCTGATGGCAAATCTTTTGGCCTTGCTGAAAATAGAATGTCACTGAGAGATTTCTTTGTGCCTGAAATGAAGACTCTCAATGCATCTGCCCTGTATTTTTCGTTTAGAGAAGGAGCCAAAGTAGAATCGTAAGTCATAATTGTTTTGTTTATGAGAAGTGTTAATTTCTTTTCATTTCATTTCTTTCCTCATAATATTGGGTTATTGTCAGGGTTCCCTGACGTAGAACGGACAACTCTTGCTCGATTATATAGATAGGGCGTTTATCGGCGTATGTAAAGTCAAGTCTATTGATAATTGCTTTAAAATTTAGTGGAGTATCGTATGACGACAATACCATATCAGCAGGGCCTTTGATTTTATTCCTAATTATACCCAGCGCCTGATAATGCTTTGAGCTTCCTACATAATTTTCAAAGATTTTATATGCAGTGTGTGCGGCTTTCCGCCACGAAACATAAGTCTCGATTTTTCCCTCAAAGTCTGGTACTGATTTAATTATGTCCAGTGTTTCGTCACATTTAATACCTACAATAATTTCTGCATCTTTAAATACTTCAACTTCGGGTACGGACACTGTTGTATTTCTAAACTCGTTTCTCATTTCCTCCATTTTTCTTTCAAATATTTGCGCTTGATTTTCTAATGCACTGTTTACTGCATACTCGAGCAGCGCTTTCAAATTTTCTTCACTCACTGCCATTTTATTTTTTGTTTGTTCCGGCACTAGTTTGTTTTTTATATCTTTTATTAGTTCCTCTAGTTTTTTTATTAGTTTATTAGTTTTTCACATTTCTTTTGAAACTATGGTATTTATATGTTATTGTAAATCTCCTTTTCCGTCTGTTTATCCCCTCTGCAAGTCCAACGATGTCGATCCAACGATGTTGCCTCCTTGCTTGAGATTTCTTTGATGAGCAGGTTCTGCCAGTTGGGCGCCAGTTAATAATTAATATACTCAAACTGTTTACTTGTGATCTCTGCACGAAGTTAAGTCAGTGAGATAGAATTATACTTGTTCGTTTATTGGTCAAATCCGTACTGAAATATAAATGACAAAATATTCTTAACATAAGCTAGCCCTGACCTATAATCGCTGTGTCAGCGATTATGCTGAATGGATTATGTTTCAACGTTGCGACAGCGCATGGAATGTTGACGGCAACGTATTGTGAAGTTTAGCATAATTGGCATTAAGCATTGTTGCAGCTTTGCTGATCGTGCAGAACTGCAGTCGTTGACTTTGTCTGACCGGATGTGTTAACTTGTATGTATGTGTGTTTGTGTAAGGATTTATCTAAGTGCTTTTTTTTGTAATTTTTATTTCAGGAAGCCATGCAAGAGGTTTGGGTTGCATGTAAAGAGTGGATACGGGCGGCTGCCAGAACTGAAACCACCAAAAATTCATTTGTTTCTTGCTAGCTGAGCTCAGCACACGCTAAATTAATTCTAACCGCTAGCCGAACAAAACGAAAAACGCAACATACAGCATGCATAAGGGAGCAGAAGAGAGAGACAGAGAGGAAAAACGCTAATACATGTACAAGGAAGCAGAAGCAGGAGAGCAGATGAGCAAACGCATACAGGCTTAACAATGCAGTGAGTAGAAAATCAGAAGAGTTTACGCAACCGGCGCCACAATACATGTACAACTGGACAATGACAATGTATGTATATGTATATGTGTATGTATGTGTGTTTGTGTGTGCGCGCCATGCCCGAAGTTTGAGTAGCGAGTAAAGAGTGGCTACGGACGGCGGCCAGAAGTGAAACCAACAAAAAATCATTTGTTTCTTGCTAGCTGAGCTCAGCGCACGCTAAATTCATTCTAACCGCTAGCCGAACAAAACGAAAAACGCAACATTTTAAAGGGATTGTGCAGCACACTTGCTGCAGTAGACGAAAAAGCAGAAGTGCGGAAGAGCTTAAGCATGCTGGCGGAACAGCATGCATAAGGGAGCAGAAGAGAGAGACAGAGAGGAAAAACGCTAATAGATGTACAAGGAAGCAGAAGCAGGAGAGCAGATGAGCAAACGCATACAGGCTTAACAATGCAGTGAGTAGAAAATCAGAAGAGTTTACGCAACCGGCGCCACAATACATGCACAGCTGGACAATGACAATGTATGTATATATATATGTGTATGTATGTGTGTTTGTGTGAGGATTTATCTAAGTGCGTTTTTTTGTAATTTTTATTTCAGGAAGCCATGCAAGAGGTTTGGGTTGCATGTAAAGAGTGGATACGAGCGGCTGCCAGAACTGAAACCACCAAAAATTCATTTGTTTCTTGCTTACTCTCTCGCGCTTTCTACTAAGTTATGGCAGGTGCACCAGTCACTTTGCAGTCAGCAGTGGAGCTTACTCATCCAGGCGGCGCAATGCTAATACATGTACAATGGAGCAGAGTTTACGCAGCAGGCGCAACCATACATGTACAGCTGGACAATGACAATGTATGTATATGTATAGTGTATGTATGTGTGTTTGTGTGAGGATTTATCTAAGTGCGTTTTTTGTAATTTTTATTTCAGGAAGCCATGCAAGAGGTTTGGGTTGCATATAAAGAGTGGATACGGGCGGCTGCCAGAACTGAAACCACCAAAAATTAATTTGTTTCAGTTGAACCAGTCACTATGCAGTCAGCAGTGGAGCTTACACATCCAGGCGGCACATTGCTAATACATGTACAATGGAGCAGAGTTTACGCAGCAGGCGCAACCATACATGTACAGCTGGACAATGACAATGTATGTATATGTATAGTGTATGTATGTGTGTTTGTGTGAGGATGTATCTAAGTGCGTTTTTTGTAATTTTTATTTCAGGAAGCCATGCAAGAGGTTTGGGTTGCATATAAAGCGTGGATACGGGTGGCTGCCAGAACTGAAACCACCAAAAATTCATTTGTTTCAGTTGAACCAGTCACTATGCAGTCAGCAGTGAAGCTTACACATCCACGCGGCACATTGCTAATACATATACAATGGAGCAGAGTTTACGCAGCAGGCGCAACCATACATGTACAGCTGGACAATGACAATGTATGTATATGTATATGTGTATGTATGTGTGTTTGTGTGAGGATTTATCTAAGTGCGTTTTTTTGTAATTTTTATTTCAGGAAGCCATGCAAGAGGTTTGGGTTGCATGTAAAGAGTGGATACGGGCGGCTGCCAGAACTGAATCCACCAAAAATTCATTTATTTCTTGCTAGCTGAGCTCAGCGCACGCTAAATTCATTCTAACCGCTAGCCGAACAAAACGAAAAACGCAACATTTAAAAGGGATTGTGCAGCACACTTGCAGAAGACGAAAAAGCAGAAGTGCGGAAGAGCTTAAGCATGCTGGCGGAACAGCATGTATAAGGGAGCAGAAGAGAGAGACAGAGAGGAAAAACGCTAATAGATGTACAAGGAAGCAGAAGCAGGAGAGCAGATGAGCAAACGCATACAGGCTTAACAATGCAGTGAGTAGAAAATCAGAAGAGTTTACGCAACCGGCGCCACAATACATGTACAGCTGGACAATGACAATGTATGTATATGTATATGTGTATGTATGTGTGTTTGTGTGAGGATTTATCTAAGTGCGTTTTTTTGTAATTTTTATTTCAGGAAGCCATGCAAGAGGTTTGGGATGCATGTAAAGAGTGGATACGGGCCGCTGCCAGAACTGAAACCACCAAAAATTCATTTGTTTCAGTTGAACCAGTCACTATGCAGTCAGCAGTGAAGCTTACACATCCACGCGGCACATTGCTAATACATGTACAATGGAGCAGAGTTTACGCAGCAGGCGCAACCATACATGTACAGCTGGACAATGACAATGTATGTATATGTATAGTGTATGTATGTGTGTTTGTGTGAGGATTTATCTAAGTGCGTTTTTTTGTAATTTTTATTTCAGGAAGCCATGCAAGAGGTTTGGGATGCATGTAAAGAGTGGATACGGGCCGCTGCCAGAACTGAAACCACCAAAAATTCATTTGTTTCAGTTGAACCAGTCACTATGCAGTCAGCAGTGAAGCTTACACATCCACGCGGCACATTGCTAATACATGTACAATGGAGCAGAGTTTACGCAACCGGCGCCACAATACATGTACAGCTGGACAATGACAATGTATGTATATGTATAGTGTATGTATGTGTGTTTGTGTGAGGATTTATCTAAGTGCGTTTTTTGTAATTTTTATTTCAGGAAGCCATGCAAGAGGTTTGGGTTGCATGTAAAGAGTGGATACGGGCGGCTGCCAGAACTGAAACCACCAAAAATTCATTTGTTTCCGTTGCACCAGTCACTATGCAGTCAGCAGTGGAGCTTACACATACAGGTGACACAATACTAATACATGTACAATGGAGCAGAAAAGCTTACACATACAGGCGCAACATGTAAAAGGGATTGTGCAGCACACATACAGAAGACAAACAAGCAGAAGAGCTTAAGAAGTTACGCCTACAGGCGGAACAACATACACAAGGCAGCAGAACAATGTTAATACAGATAAAGCACTTGTACAAAACAACACTAATATCAAGAGTGCAAGAGAGCAGAAGAGATAAGCAGATAAGCTTAGGCATAGAGGCGGAACATGTTCGAGGGAGCAGAGGAGCAGAAGAGCTTACGCATACAGGAGCCAAAATGTTCATGCAAGTAAAGTGCTTGTCCAGAACACATGCCCCAGTCAGCAGGCAGAGAGCAGATAGTCTTACATACGTAAGACGGAACGACGCTAATACATGTACAAGAAAGTTCACGTGCGTAGCCACGCCCTGCCGGCCACCAATCCATACATATATATATATATATATATATATATATAAATGCAGAGGTGAGTATGAAATTTGCCATTCGCTCGATTTTTTTTTGTTTCTTAACATAACATTTCTAACAAAAAAAATTATGTTAAATGGCCAATGCGATCAACTGATCCTAACAGTCTTTGTGTTCGAACATATTTTATAGATTGGGCGTTCAGTTTGCGTTCGAGCTGGAGTTGGCGTTGGAATGTCGCCAGCCTATAAAGAAGGGCGTGCTGCAGCGCAGCTTCAGTTGCTTGTCTGACCTGCTGGCGGGTCAGTCATCCAGTGCAGTGCGGTGTATGGTAGTTATATGGTTAAATATAGTAAATAATATTAAGTATTCCAATAGTTAATAATTTTAAGAAATTGTGTATAGTAATTGTAGTAATACTATTATTAATATAATTATAAGAGCATTTAGGCTAACTATGAAATAATAATCTGTGTACCTAAATAAATATTGTTCATAATGATGTAAACAATATCATAAGCATAGAAGTAAGCACAAAGATGTTTATGTTCATAATGATGTAAACAAAAATATCATAAGCATAGAAGTAAGCACAAAGATGTTTATGGCAAATGTAAAACGGAACAACCATAATAGGAGAAGAACAGAAGAGCAAACAAGCAGATAAGCTTAGGCATACAGGCGGAACAACATGTACAAGGGAGCAGAATAGCTTACGCATACAGGACCCATAATGTTCATGCAAGTAAAGTGCTTGTGTAGAACACATGCATCAGTCAGCAGGCAGAGAGCAGATAGTCTTACATACGTAAGACGGAACCACGCTAATACATGTACAAGGAAGCAGAAGCAGGAGAGCAGCTGAGCTTACGCATACAGGCTCAACAATGCAGTGAGTAGTGTGTGTGTGCGTGTGTGCGTGTGTGCGTGTGCGTGTGTGCGTGTGCGTGTGTGCGTGTGCGTGTGTGCGTGTGCGTGTGTGCGTGTGCGTGTGTGCGTGTGTGCGTGTGCGTGTGTGCGTGTGTGCGTGTGTGTGTGTGCGTGTGTGTGTGTGCGTGTGTGTGTGTGCGTGTGTGTGTGTGCGTGTGTGTGTGTGCGTGTGTGTGTGCGTGCGTGTGTGTGTGCGTGTGTGTGTGCGTGTGTGTGTGCGTGTGCGTGTGTGTGTGTGTGTGTGTGTGTGTGTGTGTGTGTGTGTGTGTGTGTGTGTGTGTGTGTGTGTGTGTGCGTGTGTGTGTGTGTGTGTGTGTGTGTGTGTGTGTGTGTGTGTGTGTGTGTGTGTGTGTGTGCATGCATGTGTGTGTGCGTGTGCGTGTGCTTGTACGTCTGTGTGTGTGTGCGTGTGCGTGTGCTTGTACGTCTGTGTGTGTGTGTGAGGGTTTTTCTAAGTGCGCTTTTTTGTACATTTTATTTCAGGAAGCCATGCCAGAGGTTTGGGTAGCGTGTAAAGAGTGGGTACGGACGGCTGCCAGAAGTGAAGCCAACAAAAATCATTTGTTTCTTGCTTACTCTCTCGCCTTCTCTACTAAGTTATGGCAGTTGCACCAGTCACTATGCAGTCAGCAGTGGCGCTTACACATACAGGCGGCACAATGCTAATACATGTACAATGGAGCAGAAAAGCTTACACATACATGCGTAACATGTAAAAGGGATTGTGCAGCACACATGCAGAAGACAAACAATCAGAAGAGATTGCGTATACATGCGCAACAATTTTAATACATATAAAGCACTTGTACAGAACATATGCACCAGTCAGCAGGTAGAGAGCAGATGATCTGATGTATGTACGACGGAACAACGCTAATAGCAAGAGAGCATGAGAGCAGAAGAACAGAACAGGAGATAAGCAGATAAGCTTAGGCATACAGGCGGAACAACATATACAAGGGAGCAGAACAGATTACGCATAAAGAAGTCATAATGTTCATGCAAGTAAAGGGCTTGTGCAGAACACATGCACCAGTCAGCAGTCAGAGAGCAGTCTTACATACGTAAGACGGAACAATGCTAATACATATACGAGGAAGCAGAAGCAGGAGAGCAGATGAGCTAACGCATGCAGGCTCAACAATGCAGTGAGTAGAAAAGCAGAAGAGTTTACGCAACAGGCGCAACAATACATGTACAGCTGGACAACGACAATGTACGTATATGTATTTGTGTATGTATGTGTTTGTGTGTGCGTGTGTATGAGGGTTTTTCTAAGTGCGCTTTGTAATTTTTATTTCAGGAAGCCATGCAAGAGGTTTGGGTAGCGTGTAAAGACTGAGTGGGGACGGCTGCCAGAAGTGACACCAACAAAGAATCATTTGTTTCTGGCTTACTCTCGCGCTCTCTACTAAGTTATGGCAGTTGCACCAGTCACTATGCAGTCAGCAGTGGAGCTTACACATACAGGCGGCACAATGCTACTACATGTACAATGGAGCAGAAAAGCTTACACATACAGGCGCAACATGTAAAAGGGATTGAGCTTACGCATACAAGCGGAACAACATGCATAAGGGAGCGGAAGAGCTTACGCATACATGCGCAACAATGTTAATGCATATAAGGCACTTGTACAAAACACATGCACCAGTCAGCAGGTAGAGAGCAGATGATCTGACGTATGTATGACGGAACAGCCCTAACAGCAGGAGAGCAGAAGAGCAGATAAGCTAACATGTACAAGGGAGCAGAAGAGCTTACGCATAGAGAAGCCAAAATGTTCATGCAAGTAAAGTGCTTGGGAAAAACACATGCATCAGTCAGCAGTCAGAGAGCGGATAGTCTTACATACGTATGACGGAACAACGCTAATATATGTACAAGGAAGCAGAAGCGGAGAGCAGATGAGCTTACGCATACAGGCTCAACAATGCAGTGAGTAGAAAAGCAGAAGAGTTTACGCAACAGGTGCGGGTTTTTCTAAGTGTGCTTTTTTTTGTAATTTTTATTTCAGGGGGGGAACGTGAGCGAGCTTTGAACTCGGGAAGTGTCAGAAAAGTTACGAGAGAAAAATAACTGGCTTGTGCCTTGTGGCGGAGGCCAAGCGCTCGTTCATAGCGAATGTCGCTTTTTGATCCTTCGATGTCGATTCCTATCATTGTGAAGCAAAATTCAGCGTTGCGTTGGAGATTGTTCACCAGCCATGCAAGGCGGGAACCTTAGCGAGTTTTGAACTCGAGAATTGTCAGAAAAGTTACGAGACAGGAATAACTGGCTCGTGGCGGCAGCCAAGCGTTCGTTCATGGCGAATGTCGCTTTTTGATCCTTCGATGTCGAAATGTCGATTCCTATTATTGTGAAGCAAATTTCAGCGTTTCGTTGGAGATTGTTCACCAGCCATGCAAGGGGGGAACGTGAGCGAGTTTATTTTTGTTTTTTATTTATTTTTTTTTTTTTTATTTATTTAGTTGCAGCGTATTGTCTTAGACACTATAGCGCACTTAGCTCTAAACCTTATCTAATAGGAGGGCAGATATGCCAATAATTCTGCACTTATTGCTACTATCTTAACTAGTTCTAATATTATCTAGAGAATGCAATCTATTAAGTCTTCGCCTATTGTTGTTTATAGCCAGGTTGCTTGCGAGATGCGCTGCAAGTCTGTGCGCGTATCTTGAACTGTGTCGCCCAATGAGTTGAGCGACTGTGGGAATTGCTAAATCCCTATGTAAGACTGAGCCCCATAGAGAGAGAGAGATACCATATACGAAGGTTGGTGGGACAACTATTGCCTTGTAGATGGCGGCCTTGCTGCTGTAAGACAACTAGCTTGAAGCTATCGGCAGCGCTTTAAACGTCAGCTGTCTGTCAAGAGTGATACCAAGGTACTTTACTTTTGAGGCTTTCGGAATAGTGGGCCCCAATGCAACGCTTGGGCAATCTCCTCTTCTAGCGGCGAAGGTAGTATGTACGGACTATTGTGCATTAATGGTGATACACCACCGTTTTGCCCAGCGTCCGAAAGAGTCTAGATATTTTTGTAGTGAGTCTGAGGCTTCTTGCGCAGATACGTGACACGTGACACGTGACACGTGATAAGATGGCGGTGTCATCTGCATAAGTCGCTATGAGTACTGCATCGGTAGTTCCCATAATTGGCTCGGGAGTTGGCATATCTCCAGTGAATAAAGTGTAAAGTGTTGGGCCTAGAACACTACCCTGTGGTACTCTAGCCATAATTGGTCTAGTCGAGGATACTGCTTGCAGCCCCTTGACACTTGGAAGGTTCTTCCAATAAGATATGAGGATAGCAAAGCGAAAAATGGGGCTGGAAGGGTGGTCCTCACTTTCTGCAGCAGTCCCA